ACCATCATAACCTCTGCATGGTTCCATGTGTACACTCATGTGCATACAGCACACATATATCTCACACACACCAATGTACATTCATATTCAACTGAAGGTAACATTGTTTGGAAAAAATGTGATTTTAGTGAGACAGCTTAGTGGAGGCATTTGCCACCAAGCCTGACAACCTAAGTTCAATCCCCAAGTGGGAGGAGGAAACCAACTCCTGTAAGGCGTTCTCTGACCTCCATATGCATGCATGAACACACACACACACACACACACACACACACAGGTAAATGAATAAATGTAAAAAGCTATAACTGTGACTGTTCAGTGGTAGAACAATGTGGAGCAAATCTCCATTTTGCACTGATTAAAAAATTCTGTGGTAGGGGCTGGAGAGATAGCTCAGCGGTTAAGAACACTGTTCTTGCAGAAGACCCGGGTTCAAATCCCAGCACCCACATGGCAGCTAATAACTGTCCATAATTCCAGTTCCAGGGGATCCAACAGCCTCTTCTGTCCTCCATAGACATTGTACAACATGGGTGCATTTATCTACATGCAGGCATAACACTCACACACGAAATAAAAATATTTTTAAAAATTCTATGTAGCAACAAGTATTTAGTTTTGTAAATATTTGTTGCCAGTTGCTTATATATACAGCTGAAAATGTATCACTTAAATATGAAAGAGAGACTAACTTTTTCCAAGTAACATCTTCCATAAACAACAGGAGCTTCCAAGAATTTTGTGTTAGGAAACATCCACGATAATATTTTGTTTCCATATGAACCACCATCACACAGACATCAGTTTGTATAACGTAAACGATAGATTTAGCTCTTGGCCCAGAATAAATTATTCCATAAACCTCACAGAACACATTTTTTTAAATAACCTGTCTACAACAGAAATACTATGTGCAGGAGAGCATCCAAAATGTGAGTACTGGTAGTAAAGCATAGTTAGCTCATTATTATTTAACTGTATGCTCTCTCATCTGAAGATACACTGTGGGGTTATTAAATAAAGGATCCTTCTCCCATTCATGTTCTGAAAAACAGTTCATCTGATCCTGAGAAATTGCTATAAATTCTAGTCTCATTCAAACACTATTTTTTTTTGGGGGGGGGTCTTTGTGAGACAAGGCCTTTTAGAATTTGTATGTAGACCAGGCTGGTCTTGAACTTAAAAAAATCTGCCTGCCTCTGGTACTAAAGGCGTGGGCAACCACGCTGGCTTCACTCAAACACTATTTAAAAAAACCACTGTACCCCATCCTGCAGTTACCCTAGTGATTTCTGAGCTGTCTCTTGAACCAGTGTATGAGATATTAAAGGGAAATCTCTAACTTTCCCTCACAGTCATTTTCAACAAGATAAAATTTTATATGCTGGGGCTGGAGGGATGGCTCAGCGGTTGGGAGCACTGGTTGTTCCTGCAGAACACCTGGGTTTGTATCCCAGAACCTACATGGTGGCTAATAGCCGTCTGTAACTCCAGTTCCAGGGGATCCAACACTCTTCTTTTGCGGGCATTGCATGATGCTGGTACACTTACACTCATGCAAACAATACACTCATACACATAAAATAAAAATTAAAGATATGCCATACTCTTTTTAACGGGACTTTTTGCTACTCTAACATTCCCCCCTTTGAAGAGGTAACCCTAAAATCTTTTAGAGATTAGATAAGAGCTCCCAAACTTTTAACATTTTTGGCTTTTGGAACAGAAAGAGTACACAAAGTTGTCAGACAAAAGTGATGGAAAGATACAGGAGGTGTTAGAAGGGAGGGAGTGGGCGTGGATTTGATCACACCACCTTATATGCATGTATGAAATTCTCAATAAAGTTTTTTTAAAGTTAAACAAAAAAGTACACATAGGGACTCAATGAGTTTTCATTCAATTTTATGTCTTACAGGGTTTATACTGAGTTCAATATTGTATAATTGTATTAATTCAACTATGAACCTAAAAATTTACAGCTACTTTTGAAAGAGAATGTATCCTTGCTCTGGAAATTATTGCTGAATATGTTAAAGCTGTAATGAAATGCTTCTTATACTCATGTGGTTATTAAATTAAAAAATTTTTTAAAAAGAGGCAGAAAATAATCAGGACACGAAGGTGAGAGGGGCGCCTGTTGGGGATGTCTGGGGGGAGTAGAAGGCATGTGGGGTAGATATGATCAAGATACATTGTTTGTATGTATGACATTGTCAAAGAATCAAAATAATTTTTGAAGTAAAAAAATATGCTATAAAAATAAATGAAGGGTTGGAGAGAGGCTCAGTGGTTAAGAACATTGGCTGTTCTTACAGCAGAACACCTACATGGTGGCTAACAACTGTAACTCCAGTTCCTGGGGATCAAACTGGAGGGCCTCTTCTTGCTCAGAGGGCACTGCACCACACAGGTGCACTTACATACATGCAACAGTGTTGAGAAAAAGTACCCTAGAAGTATAATAACTTGTAATACAAATGACCCTTAAAAGCATATTTTAAAACTGAATGTAAGCAGGGCACAGTGGTGCATGCCTTTAATCCCAGCACTCGGGAGGCAGAGGCAGGCAGATCTCTTTGAGTTCAAGGCCAGCCTGGTCTACATAGCGAGTTCCAGGCCAGCTGGGGCTACAGGGCTACTCTGTATTAAAAACAAACAAACAAACAAACAAACAAACAAACAAAACTGGACACAGGGGTACACACTTGTAATACCAGCACTCAGGAAGTGGATTCAGGAGGATTAGATCAGAAAACTTGCAGGAGTTGGTTCTCTCCTTCCACCATCCAGATCCTCAGGATTGAACTAAGATCTTCAGGTGCCTGTACCTGATAAGCCATCTCACTATGTTCCCTCCAACTCCCTTTAAAATGTAATTTTCAAATCTTTGCCAAAATTCTCAGAAGTTTGTCTTTGAAAACCGTAGTATCTTTAGGTTCTACACATCTGTTTGGATGGAATCTTCTGCTGCTTTCAACTCATGTCTCTGTGTGGCTAGGGATTTTACTGAGTGCCTTACAATGCATTTACAAGACTTTTTAGATTTGAAGACTTACTATATTACATTATACTTACTCTTACTATTATATAACATTATCCCCACAAAGTTAGTGTCTTACCACAACCTTGTTATCTCACTGCTTGGCTGGTGCTTTATGGTCTAAGGCTGCAATCATGGTATTTAGCTGGTCTCAGGTAAGGCTCCCCTAAGACAGGATCCACCTATGACAGGTGACACCATTCAGTTCTGCTGTCAAATCTCAGTTGCTTGCCATGTAGCCCTCTCCAAAAGCCAGGTCACTACATGAAAGCTTATTTCTTCAAAATTAACAAGGAATTAATTGAAGGGTACTAGAATTTGATGTAATCATGTATACATCATCATGTATAGACCATCATCTTCATGGTTTTCTAATGACTTGAAGCAAGTCATAGCCCTTCCAGAACACCAAAAAGACAAGAATCATAGTGGTCACCTTAGAGCTCCTGTCTGTCATACCTAGAATGTTTACTTCCTCTTGAGAAACAAATTTTAGAGCCCTGCGATCCCTTTAACACCTGTTTACTCCTAATCATTCTTACCAGCACAAGTTCTACACTCCAACATCTCCTCTTCTTACTCATGAGGTTATCAATATAACCATTTAGCAACATAACCTAAGAGAGGTCAACACACACAATGAAACATTTCTGCATTTCCTTAGAAATTCTTCATCAGCTCTTTGATGTGTTGAATAGCTATTTCTAATATTTTGTCCAGCTGTGAGTTTTTCTAGACCTTCTCAGAAAATTGTATGGTCTAAACTACTTGGTCAACTATTATCGTAAGTGAAATCTTATTTTTTAAGTTCTATAGTTTGTTATTGGCCTCAACATATAGGCAGATGATAATTTGTAAGAGAAGTGTTTCGGCATAATCTAACCTATTAAAGCAAAACAAAGATTTAGTATTTAGGGGGAAAAAAAAGACTATAGGTCTAATTTTTCCCCATTACATTATACTGAGTATTTCTATTTCTGGAAGTTACAAAAAAAGCACATTACTACTTGTTGAATCTTCATGACTAAACATGAGCCTAGAGATTAGCATGGAATTATAAAAATGTTTAGGTCAGATGGTATTTTGTTAATATTCCTACATCAAAGTCTCTTTTTTTTTTCTTTTTGGTCTTTTTGAGACAGGGTCTCCCTGTAGCCCCAGCTGGCCTGGAACTCACAGAGAACCCCTGCCTCTGCAGGGATTAAAGGCGTGCACCACTATGCCTGGCTACATCAAAGTCTCTTAATTGTTGAGTATTCATACAAATTTATACTCTATTGTTTGTAACTAAACTCCCAAATATAAACAGCAAACTGATGAAACTAGCATACTGAAGCCATGTATGGTGGTGCATATTTAATCCCAACATTCTGGATGCTAAGGCAGGATTCTGAGCTTGAGGCTAGCAAGACTCTTGATAGCAAGACTCCATTTTCAAACAAAAACAAAAACCAGCATACCAGTTATTATCTATGATGCTATGAAATAAGCATAAAATATAAGAAACATTAATATGCATTTCATTTCAAAAGGAAATCCTGAGGCTGATGAAAACTTCCAATAAGAAATCCTGCATTACAGGCTGGTGAGATGGTCAGCACATAAAGGTGCTTGTTGCCAAGCTTGACCTGAGTTCCTTCCCTGGGTGCCACAAGCTGGGAAGAACTCCCATAAATTGTTCCCTGACCTCCAAACATATGCCATGGCACATCCTACCTCCAAACAAATTTTAAAAACTGCATTCCTATTGTAAAAACAGATTTGGGAGGACATTATATACATTTGAGAACCTTTTATTATGTGAATAAAGCATCAGGTTTTTGTTTTTGTTTAGAAAATGAGCTTGCATTTGAAGTACTCTTTGATGACATCATAGCACACTACAACCAGGCAATTTATGGGGTCTCCCCTCTCTTTTGTAGACGCCTATCCACACCCTTAGTTTTTTGTCACCAACCTTAATTTGGTTGATTTTTAATTCAAAGCACAAAGCTCCTCCACCATCTTTACATAGGCTCATCACAGTTCAAGCGTACAAAGATGGGGTCGGCACTTGCTTAAGGATTTAGCAACTTTGCATATTTCCCATGCTGGGCCATCTTGGATGAAGGCAGTCTTCAGAACCTCTTGTAAGACAGTATTAACATCTACTACACCTCCAACAACAATGCCTTTCTGGGCCATAGTGGTGCATTATGGAGAAGCTGAATCTTGAACACACTCAAGTTTCTGTGAGACTTACTGATGGAACAAGAGCACATCAGGCAGCTGGACATATTTTGAAATAAATGTCTGAGAGTAAAATATGACCACAGGAAAACAAAATACATATAGCTTACCAATCAACCACCCTTAGAACAGACCATGACTTGCACTTACCTCAATTATGCACTTTTTTTTTTTTCCAGTTTTCCTGGGTACAGGATCACCTGGAATGAAAACTGTACTTCCATTCCTTTCTTTTGGACTAGGTTTGGGCTAATGATACCAGAAGGGTTCGATACAACTGGAAAATATCCTTAAATAAAGGGTTATAACTGCACTTCCCTGGTTCTTAAGAGGCCAGAATGTTCACTGTGAACTGGAGCTGGGATAGCAACCTTGGATCATGGGTTGGAATCAATAGCTGAGGTTGGTTTAGCAACAAAATAGCCTCAAAAAAAAAAAATCATTGGAATTCTTTGAAGACAAAAAACCCTCACATTTTAAAAAAGCTACGAGATATTGGGGATTTTAGTTTTATGCTGCTGAGCCCAATCTTAACTAATACATATTTCAATTGTTGGCACATTACTCTTTAATTAGAAATTGTAAATGAGAAATTATTTCAACACCTGAAGACCAAAGTACAATAGAGGGTTCCATCGGCTCAAGATCTTGAGACATTCTGGAAAGAGTTTTATGTAAAGTATATCCTTTCCGTGGCATGGCAATATCATTCTTACTTAAAAAGGTTACTGGACAAATGTCATTTCCACCATCACCTATGTACACAATTCGTGCATAACTCACTCCCTGTTGTAATTGTTTATCTACAAATTCTACCAGAACTACATTTTTGCAAAGATTCTTTGGGCACCTATTGCAAGAATGAGCATGGCAATTTTCTACAGTGAGCTGACCATTGCTATCAAAAGCTGCTGGATTTGTAAACATGTTATCAAAGACATCATGAAAATTGGCAGCTTCTAAAACCCAATCTATGAAGACTGAATTTGAGTCTGAAATAATGATGCAGTCAAATTTATCCTTATTAATTCTTATAAAGTTGAAAAGTTCTATCATCCCCGAGGTGAAAGGTATTGATGTCACTGCTCTTTTAATTTCATCTTCTTTTACGCCTTCATCTCCCAAATACTTAAAGACTCTGCCCATGAATTCTGTCCAAAACCCTTTTTGATAAGAATCCTGTAGCTCAACAGGGAGCTTTTTGCCTGGCGCACATTGTATAATCCAAGTGTCACTATTATCATCTATGATTGTATTGTCGAAGTCAAACACCAACAAAACTTTCATGGTTCCAGTAATAGATTTGGATTGCCCTGAAAAAGAAGAAATATTATTCTATAAACATGTTGTGTTTACGTATCTAGTATACTTATTTAAAATGTGAAGACAACATTAACCTGCTATGAGTTGGCATGGTGGCACGTGCCTGTTTTCTCAGCACTGAGGAGGCTGAGGCAAAAGGAATAAGAACTGGAGGCTAACCTGGCTACAAAGTGAGACCTCCCCCCACATTCCCCAAATAAGGACTATAAATTAGTGATTAAGCTGGGTTGTTTGTTTTTTTGAGACAGGTCTCACTATGTAGCCCCAGCTACCTAAGTGTGGAACTTGCTATGCAGACTGCTAGCCTCACTCACAGAAACCCATCCTACCTCTGCCTCCTGAGTTCTGGGATTGAAGGCATGCGCCAGCTACCACAACCACCCTTGATTAAGCATTTTTTAGGACCGTCATTTAAGCACTTTGTCCTAAGATGCAAAATCCATTTTTCAGTATTTTAAGCGGAGAACAATTATGTACGAGTGTCAGTGTGTGCCAGTGGAGATGATTCTTTGAGCACACAATGAAATTACAGAACTATTCAGAAATAGAAGTAATGAAATACTTTGTTGTTATTGGTGGTGGTGGCGTGTGCATGTGCAAGCACGTGTGGAGGCAAGGGGTTGATACTGGGCATCTTCCTCTATTGTTCTTCACCGTGATTTAGAGACATGGTCTCTCAGTGAAACTGGAGCTCATCATCAATTGGTTAGACTAGATGGCCAGCTTGCCCCAGGGATCCCTCTGTCTCTGTCTGCCAGTGCTGGGATACAGGTGTATGTTACACACCCAATTTTCACTTAAGTGCTAGGGACTGGAACTCAGGTCCTTGTGCTTCAACAGCAAGTTCTTTACACTGAGCCATTTCCTCACCCCAAAATAATCTCTGACAGTCAAACTTATAAAAGTTATTAGAATAGAAAAGTAGGAGATGGAGAGATGGCTTAAAGGTTAAGAACATTTGCTGCTCTTACAAAGGACCAGGGTTCAGTTCCTAGCATCCACATGGTGGCTAACAACAGTCTGTAATTCCAGTTCCAGGAGATTTGCTGCCCTCTTCTGACCTTTGTGGGCATTGTATGCATAGGTGCACCTACATACATACATGCAGGCAAAATACATACACATAAAATAAAAACAAATCCAAAAAATTTTAAATATACAGCTTAATTATCTTTATTATCTTTAAATTATCAATAACTGTGATATTTATTTTATCAGGTTATAATATTTATAATAATCCTCATATTATGTAACAAGTCAATATATTAAGGATACTCTGTATACTAATCAAAACTCTGTAAAATATTGTTTTATAAGAGCTTTTGGATTAAACCTGATTTCTAAATGTCAGTGTTGTAACTAAATGATTGCTTAATGCTATCCTAAAAAATTTAAAACAATTGAGATATGGAGGTTAATTCAATTTTCCAAAATTAGGATGACTTTTGTTAAGAGTTTTGAATGCTTATTTGCATTTTCTCTAGATAGTTTAGCTTTGAGGCGCCAAATAATCTAATTACTTGAATAACCACACTGCATATGATGTGACAAATGTCTTTGTTTTCAGTTGAATGAAACAAAAGATTATAAATCTCAAGAAAAAAGGAAAAATTAAGCTGGTCAATAGATAATATGGTTAAAAATTACTGTGTTGGGGCTGGAGAGATGGCTCAGCGGTTAAAAACACTAGCTGTTCATACAGAAGGCCCGGGTTTGAATCCCAGCACCCCCATGGCAGCTAACAACTGTCCGTAACTACAGTCCCAGGAGATCCAACAACCTCTTATAACCTCCACGGGCATTGCAGGACATGGGTGCACTTATCTACATGTAGGCAATACATGCATACACATAAAATAATAAGTAAAATTTTAAAAAATTACTATGTACAAAAAAAAAGAAAAGAAAAACACAGCAAGGGTTTGAGAGAAGGCTCAGAAGTTAAGGGCACTGACTGCTCTTACAGAGGACCTGGGTTCGGTTCTCAGCACCCACATGGCAGCTAACATTTATCTTTAACTCCAGCTCCAGGGGCTCTGATACTCTTCTAGCCTCCCTGGGCATTGCACAGACACAGAGCACTTACATATATGCAGGCAAAATACTCATACACATAAAAAATAAGAAGAAAATAACAGTAATCATACAGACTACCCAGAAAAACGTAACATTGGTATATGTGAACAAACAGAAAAAGTGGAACAACTATTTTTGAAAGATCACTCATAATCATCTCAATTAATTCTCATATCCTATTAGGTACAACTCATCCTCATTTTTTCTTTTTTTAAGACAGGGTCCCACTATGTAGCCCTGGCTGGTCTGGAACTCACTATGTGGACTAGGCTAGCCTGAACTCAAGAGACCAACTTGCCTCTCTTCCTGAGTGCTGGGATTAACACCACACTGAGACAATTTTATGTTTTTAAGTATGTAACATTCCAGTGCCTAAAAATTAGGACAGTAAAGCTAGTTACTACTCTGAAATACCAAGTACGTAATTTTAACAAAAAATGTTTAGTTACATAAAAATATTCATTATTCAAAATACACTCTAACCAAAACACACTGTAGTCCACTTATGATTATTGTGAGGTTTTATAGAGAAATCCTAAAAAGATAAGAACTCCAAAAATAAGATAGAAATAAGTTAAAAATAGAAAACATGGCATTTAACCACAAGTAATTTCTGGCTTATTACAAAAGCTACCTAGTTGTGAAGACAGGATAGAGCACTTGACACATGTACTTTATGTCTGTCAATTTTGTGTATCTAGAAAACAAATCACCTACAAGGCATATTTTCTATTGTGTGTATTGTTTACTGTTGGGGATATGGCGCGTGCGCGCTGGGCACCCTGGCGTGGTGTGCGCGGGCACGCCTGGAGAGTTGCGGCGCGGGTCCGCGGGCTTCTCCGTGTCTCTGTGGGTCTCTGCTGCTGGAGCACTGTCCAGCCGTGTACCGCCTTAATTTCCCCCGTGCGCTTTCCTCTTGATGCGAGATCCACTGGCCACTGGATCACGCGGGAGAGCGCAAGGCGGCTGAAGCTGGGATCCATGAGCCAGTGATGGAGGAATGCTGCCCCCCGGGGAGACTAGATTGCAGGCAGGAGATACAGACTCAGCTCAGTCAGATTCCGTGGTACAGCTCTTTATTCCAAGTCTCAGTGACCCAGTTCCTGCTCTAGCTCCAGCTCCGCTTCTAGCTCTCAATTATTAAGACTAGGATATTTATACCATGGGGGTAGTGGTAAAAGCTTTGGCTGATAGATACTTTGTGAGACATTCTATTTGCATATGGAAGTGGGTTTCTGCCATGCTGCCAGACTGCTGACTACCTGAAAAATCACACAGGAAAGCATGGTATTCCTAGAGCCAGAGGCCATGTTTATGCTATGGCATTTGTGGCGGGCACTTCAAAAGGAGAGTCAGGAAAAATGCCAGGAAAGCACCCTGCTATGAAAGGAGTCTCAGCACATAACTCCAAGCTCGTGAGCTATCCGGATATAAAGAGACTTCTACTTTACATAACATAGGCTCCCAACAGTTTATGTAATTATTATTGCTAATGATGGGTTATTTTGGGCTAGGATCTCACTCTGTAGATCAGGCTGACCCTGAACTTGTGATCCTTCTGCTTTGGCCTCCTGCATGCTGGGATTACAGGTGGTATGAGCCACTACACCTAGTTGTGGTATAAGTTTAGATGGCATACAATATTCTGATACAATGGATCCTTATATTTTTAGATATCTAATCCAAGTATCTCTGGCTGGCTACCAGAGATTTAAGTGGGGTATTCACTTTCCCATATGAATAATGCAGTAAATAGCAATAAGGCATAATTGATGATCACATTAACACATGTACCCAAGCACATTTTAGTTAAACACGCTTTATGAGCATTCTGAATGTACAATTTTTAAAAAGTTTTCCAGGGCTGGATATGTAACCCAGAGGTAGGGCACTTGCCTAGCAAGTGTGAGACTCTTAAGTTTGAGCTCCAGCACCTCAGGGGAAAAAAAACAAAAACAAAAAACCTTACTTTCCATAAAGTAACTCATTGTCCGTTATATACTGCCTTAAGCCTAGGCCTAATTTGTCACAAATTACTGAAATTTCTGTACTACTACTCTCCAAATAGCACAAGAGTGAGTGAACACACTTTTAATGTTAATCTAAGAATATTTTTCTCAGGGCTGGAGAGATGGCTCAGCAGTTAAGAGCACTGTCTGCTCTTGCAGAGGAGCCAGGTTTGATTCCCAGCACCCACATGGCAACTACAAACTGTCCTTAACCCCAGTTCCAGAGGAATCCGGAGCCCTCTTCTGACCTCCATGTTGTTACATGACAATACACGTAGGCAATACACTCATACGCATAAAAAATAATAAAAATAAAAAAGAATATTTTTTCAACTTTACATTTTTTCATATAAATCGTTTTTAATATAAGGTTTTATTAAACACTTACCCAAATTGGTATTTGCACTGCAATTAATCTTACTTCAGCATAGAGCTTAGGTTATTATAATCTTCAGTTTTAAACATCCACCAGTTGCCAGTTGTCTTTAAACATTACTCCATTTCTATATACAGAGAACAAACTGCTCTGATTTGGAGGAAAGGAATGAAGACTTCTTGACTCCTGAAATTAATAGACGTATTTTAAAGGCTTAAAATGTTTTCTAATTATCTTGTCTTTCCTTGTATCAAAAAAGCATGTATTAGCAATGAAACAAAATTTGATTATACAAGATGACCAGAAATAAAGACAAAACAGGAGAATATTATATGAAAATGTTTTTATCCAGCAATTAAAATCATATGTGTTAAGCTCACTGAATTTCATCATCCCAGGGCTGTTAAATAAAAGGGAACACCATACTTTACTGTCAATAAGTATTCATAGTTTTAGTGATATACTTAAAATTTTAAAAATCTATAAAAATTAAAGAAGTGCACAGATTGACTTGATAACATGAATTTATTTGGAAGTCCTTCTATTAAGATTCCAAAAACAAGGGCTGGAGAGATGGCTCAGTGTTTGAGAGCACTGGCTTCTCTTGCAGAAGACCTGGGTTTGAATCCAAGCACCTATATAGTGGCCAATAACTGTCTGTAACTCCAGTTCCAGTGGATCCAATGCCCTTTCTGTCCTCCATGGGCACTCATAGCACAGATATGCAGGCTTAACACTCATACACATAAAATAAAAATAAATTAAAAAAAAAACTCAACATTGTGGGGCTGGAGATGGTTCAGCAGTTAAGAGCAAAGAGCACTGGCTGCTCTTGCAGAGGTCCTAGGTTTGATTCCCAGCACCCATATGGTGGCTAACAACTGTCTGTTAACTCCAGTTCCAGAATTCAATACTCTCTTCTGACCTCCTTGGGCATTGTACAACATGGGCACACTAACGCCCATGCAGGCAATACACTCATACACATTAAATTTTAAAAAAATTTAAAAAAAAACTCCAAAAACATGCCAGGCACAGTGGCTCACACCTATAATCCTCAGTAGGAGCTGAGGCAGGCAGATTGCTGCATATGTGAAGCCAGCCTGGGCTACAGTGTTACTCTGTGGGTTTAAAAAAAAAAAAAAAAAAAAAAAGACAGCCAGTGAAATGGCCTAGGGGATAAAAGCACTTGTGGAGCAAGCTGACCTACCCTAGTTTGGTCCCTAGAACTGACAGTGGAAGGAGAACTGACTCCTGAAAAATAGTCCTCTGACATTTACGTGTGTTCTCACAAGCATTCGCTAATGACACTCTCTCTCACACACACATACACTCTCACACTTTAAAAAAAAAGAAAGGAAAAAAAAATCTATTCTTAGGGCTGGAAAGATGGTTCAGTGGTTAAGAGCACATGTTGCACTTGCAGAGGACCCAAGTAGAACTCCTAGCACCCAAGTGTGGTGGCTCACAGCCGCCTGGAACTCTTAAACTCCTGGGGACTGCCTCAGTGGGCACCTTCATGAGCATATAAGCTACAGAAACACATCAATGAAAACAAATGTTTTAAAAAAAATTTAGAGAATTTGTCTCCAAAAACACAAGATGTCTCTGTGTTTGCACTGTTTCTGTAATGTAATAAGAGCCTACATGCTTTTCACAATAATGAAAACTAGAAGCTACACAGACATCAAAGAATTGTGGATTGGTTACATAAGTGCATAATAACCATATGAAAGAAAATTTATTGAAAGGGCTAGGTGTGGTGGTGCACAGCTTTAATCCCAGCACTCGGGAGGCAGAGGCAAGTGAGTTCTAGGCCAGCCAGGGCTACAGGGAGAACTTGTCTCAAAAAAAAAAAAAAAAAAAAGGAAGAAAATTTATTCAGCCAATAGAAACTAATAGTTCAAATTCTGAAAGGAAATCACAAGATAATTGTCTTTTGTTTTTAAAAAGTAAGTATTTAGTTGGTTGTAGTGGTACAAATCATTGTCCTAGCAGCTGGAGGGCTGAATGAGGATAATTGTGGGTTCAAGGCCAGCCTGAACATAGTAGATTTTGTCTAAAAGAATAAAATAAGGGGGAGGGGCAAGATGGCTTACTGGGTACAGACACTTGCTGCCAAGCCTGACAACCGGAGTTCAGTCCTAGAAGCCACAAGGTAGGGGGAGAAAAATCAGCTCCTACTAGTTGTCCTCTGACCACACAAACACACACACACACACACACACACACACACAAAATTAAAAACAAACCTCTAAATAAAAGTAAAAAAAAACAGTTCCTGTGTACAGTGGCAGGGTATTGATAAATGAATGATTCAAATGTCATTTGTACTTTTTCTTGCGAGTTGGTTAAAACATTATTTACAGAATAATTTAAATGGTTTCAGACCAGGATGTGAATGTTACCTTCTTCAATTCACAACAGGAACATGAGACAAAGAACAAACTAGAGATCAATTCGTATGTAAAGCTCTAGTTCTGAGCTGTAATCAGGAGTTTGAAGTCAAATATCTATGTCAAACTGGAAAATCACTGACATATTTTATGATACTCAATACTTGTCTAATTTAGTAAAACCAGAGGATTTTCATTGGGAGACAAATTCATGGTCTCTCCTGCTTCTATCTTTCAAACAATGCACTCAATGCCCATTGCTCTATTGTTTCAAGGATGTCTGCACAGTGAACAACCTAGAAAAGCTTGTGCACATTGTCCATTATGATCTGAGTTTCCTCCTTTCAGAGTTCCTGCCCTACAATGCAAGACACATCAAAATCACAGGAATTCTTGCAACTCTGCATTACTCTGTGGGAACAGGGGCTTAGGAAAACTAAGGCAACATCTGCTGATGTGGCCATTGGTGCAATTATTCATGTCTGGCTGTAATTATTCATGTCTCACTAGAAGTCTTGGGTCTTATACAAAACTATGCAGATTGTTGTTTGCCTGCAAATCTGGCAACAACTCACTTTTTTCAGTTCTTGACATGTTTTAAGTTGTGCTTGCAATTCACTAGTGTTGTATGTGCGCAAAGTTCTGTCTACAGATATTCTTTTTATTAATCCTTTCATACTTACCAGCATTATTACTGTGGAACATCTGATAGAAAACCTGAAGAAAGACAGTACAACTGTGTTAGAACCTTCATTATTAAAAATATTACTTGCTTTCATCTTGAGGGAACTCCAATTTGTTGCCTAATTAAGTGATCATGCGAACTAGTTAGTAATCATTCGTACATTTATGTGTTTGGAAAGGATCTTTTGAAACCGATCACATGCCCACTTAGAAGATTTTGTGCCATTAAAGTTCTGACTGGTTCCCCAAGCACACTGATTATAATTTGTTTACAAGCAGTCTAAAATATAGTAAAGCTCTTAACATGAATGCTCTGGGGACAACAACCAAGTTTTAACAGCCCTAGTTAACAACAACAAATAGAGCCTCATCTAGTCCTGCCCATGCCTCAAACACCAAATAGGGTTTATGTAATCCATCCCTGGGTTTCTGTAGCATGGGCCTTGTTCCTTCACCTTGCCCGCGAGGAAATGTGTGGGCCGCAGGCACCACGCCGGGGCCTCGCACTCATACAGCTGTGGGTCCACGCGAAGGCAGGCGTCGGGACCTGGCCGGGGTGGACACCCGTGAGCGCACCGGAACGCAGGCCATGCCGGGCGACGGCTCCTCACTGACCCAGGACCGGTCAGCAGCCGTTCCACGCTCCGCCGGCCTCCCGCCGGTTGGTCCTCCCGCGCCGCCGCCGCCGCGCAGGCGCAGTCCTCCGACCCACGGCTGGGGGCGAGTTCCGCGTTCCTTCGCGATGGCTACGTCACTTCCGGCGTGTTGCTGAGCAACCAAACAGTTTGGGAAACATTCCGCGGGCTTAGACTGGGTGGTAGTCACCTCCTTGGGTAGGCCCTGCAGGCTGGACTCGTCAGAGATGCAGGTGCGCTTTGGCCGCCGCTCTGGACAGACGAGGGAAGATGCAGGTGAGCGGCCTTGGCCCGGGTTTGCTCCCGGAAGCCGGCAGAGGGTGACGGCGGGGGCTTCGGTACCTCTGGAAATGGGCTTCACCACGTCGAAAGCAGCCCGGTAGAATCGTTGGATTCTATGGAAGTTAGACCGTTCGCCGTCAAGTGAATGGCTGCAAGAAGGAAAAGGTACACGAGGGTTTGCAGGAGAAAGTGTACAGAATAGGGATAGAAAAAACCAGAAACACCCCCAACTGCCTGGCTGGTGAGATCTTCAGGCAGTCACAGAAATACTGTTGACCTGTTGGAACTCCTCACTCTGCTGCAGACCCGCTGAGTGGTCTTTTCTAAAGTTCAGGAAAATATCTTTTGCATACTAAAGTGAAGTTAAATCTCCCCTCAAGTCATATGCTCTGATAGTGTAAAAAATAAGCTACTTAAACTAATTTAGTTGACAGGACAGAAAGTTTGATTTTGTTGGAAGTGGTATTTCTAAAGTACTCTTTATCAAGTCCAACTACAAGAGTTTAATAATCATAGTAACAACTAGCACCCCCACCCCCGGAAATTTGCGCGGTCCTCCTGCTTTGCTTGAACTTCTGTAGCAATAACCCCCACCCCACCCCCACCCTCAGGGACAAACAGCCATTCTCCCACCAATGCTGCCAGTGTCTACCTGTGCAGTGGGAACATTAAAAAGTTTGATGTGGGGCTTGAGAGATGGCTCAGTGGTTAAGAGCATTGGCTGCTTCTTCAGACAACCCAGATTCAATTTCCAGCACCCACGTGGCAACTAACAACCATATGTAACTCCAGTTCCAGGGGATCAGACACTCTCTTCTGACCTCCGTGGGCATTGCACAACAGGGGTGCACTTACATACATGCAGGCACCACTCATACACCTAAAATAAAAATAATAAATAAAACACATTTTTTAAAAATTGATCCACCAAAACAAAAACAAAAACAAAAAAACGAACATTGATCCCGGGCTGGAGAGATGGCTCAGCGGTTAAGAGCACTGGCTGCTCTTGCAGAGAACCCAGGTTCGATTCCCAGCACCCACATGGCGGCTACGAACCGTACTTAACTCCAGTTTCCAGTTCCGGGAATCCGTCTCCCTCTTCTGACCTTCGCGGCATTGCACAGCAGGGGTGCACTCACATACATGCAGGCAATACACTCATACACATAAAATAAAAATAATAAAATATTAAAAATTTTGATTCCCCCCCTCGCCACAGCCCATTCGCAAATAATTGCTGTGCTTTGTTGTGTTTAGGAGTTCCTTGATGTTATGATTTAAATATGGTGCTGTTCCCCAGACAGGTTCATGTCCCCAGGCTGGCAGTATTGGGAAGTGTTGGGACCTAAGCTAGGCACACTAGCACATAACTGTAATCCTAGCTTCTCAGAAGGCTAAGGCAGAAGGATCCTGAGCTCGAGGCTGGCCTGAGCAACATAGCTACACTGTCTTTTTCCTTCTTTCTTTCTTTCTTTCTTTCTTTCTTTCTTTCCTTCCTTCCTTCCTTCCTTCCTTCCTTCCTTCCTTCCTTCCTTCCTTCCTTCCTTCCTTCCTTCCTTTCTTTCTTTCTTTCTTTCTTTCTTTCTTTCTTTCTTTTTAAAAAAGAAGACAGACTGGAGAGATGGCTCAGCAGTTAAGAACACTGATCCCTCTTGCAGATGACCTAGGTTCAATTCCCAGCACCCACGTGGCAGCTAACAACTGTCCTAAGTCCAGTTCCAGGGGATCTGATACCCTCTTCTGAGCTCAGTGGGCATTGCACAACACGGGTGCACTTACATACATGCAGGCAATACACTCATACACATAAAATTTAAGAAATAAGATAAAATAAAAAGAAGATATGGGGGGGCTCAGCATAGAGATGGCTCAGCAATTAAGAGCACAGTCTGCTCTTGCAGAGGACTCAGGTTTGGTTCCTAGTACCTACATGGTGACTAAAAGCTCTCTTTAACTCCAGTTATAGGGAGTACAACGCCCTCTTGTGGCCTTTTTGGGCATTACACGACACAAGTGCACTTACATATATGCAGGTGAAATATTCATACACATTAAATATTAATTAATTAATTAATTAAAGATGTAGGGCTTAGTGAGAGGTCCTTAGGTCTTGGAGAATATCCTTAAAGAGAGTTGTGGGACCCTATACTAAAGCATCAGTGAACCTTGAAAATATTAAGTACATGAAAGAAGCCAGACAGATCAGATGTGATTCCATGTATGTGAATTGTCTGGAATAGGCAAACCCATAGTGACAGACAGGGACTGTGAAGAGGGACTATAGGGGATGATTTCTAATAGGTGTGATAGAGTGAAAGTGTTCTAGAACTAGATAATATTCCTAGCTGCCCCACCTTATAAATAGATGAGACCCATTGACTGGCACTTTTAATAAAGGCAGATTTTTTTTTTTGCTTTTGGTCTTTTTGAGGCAGGGTCTCCCTGTAGCTCCAGCTGACCTGGAACTCACTATATGGACCAGGCTGGCCTTGAACTCACAAAGATCAATAAAGGAAGATTTTATGATATGTGTATTATATCTCAATGAAAAAAGATTTTATGAACTAGAGATGTAGCTCAGTTTGTACCGTGCTTGTCTAGAATGTGCAAACCTTAAGTTCCATCTCAGCACCCAATGAACCAAGTACAGTGGTGCATTCCTATCATCCTAGTACTTGGGAGCTAGAACCAGGAGACTCATTAGTTCAGGTCATCCTCAGCTACATAGCAAATTCAAGACTACATGAGACAGTAACAGAAGGCACATGGACAGATTTCAGGTATCTTTAGGCTTTTTGCCACTGCTTTTTTCCCCTTGTCTAATGCTTGGAGTTTACCTATTTATAGTCTCTTTGGCCAATTTTTCAATTGTGCCTTGACCTCTCTACCTTAACTTTTCTAACAGGTTCTACTGAAATTGTTTGAGAGCCATTGGGAGATAGGAATCTTAGAAACAAGATTGCCTTCAGAGGACTAAATTCTACATCAACCTAATGGATTGAAAATAGAGTATGTGAAATAATCTGTAGTTGTGACACTAACCAAGTCTTTCCTTTGGGAATGTAGATCAGTGGGTAGAGTGCTTGCCTTGCTCACACAAAGCCCTGGTTTCTTTCCCCAGCACTACATAAAACAGCTCTGGTAGCTCATGCCTATAATACCAGCACTCAGGAGGTAAAGGTAGGAAGATCAGGAATCCAAGGTCATCCTTGGCTACACAGCAAGTTGAGGATACATGAGACTCAATCTTTACACAACAATAACAAACATGTGCATAAACAACAATAACAAAAAAGGGAGTTTAACTTATCTTCAAAGGCCCATAAAAAGCCATTCCCAAGATTTCTATGAGCATGTTTTTTACTTCTCTATAGGTGCCAGTTCTCCTCCTGCCTTTGTGGCTGTTTTCTCTCTTCTGTTCCTGTATTATAGTCCACGAAAAAAAATCTCCTTGAACAAAACAATGTATTTCTACAAAATGTTTGAGACATCTAAGAGGAGTGTTCATGCTGTGTACAACCCAACTTTCTGACATCCTGCTCTACTGTGCCAAAATCCACTTACTACTGTATACTTTGCAGGGAGTGGTTCTGCCATGATGGGCTATTTATTTACTCTTCTGAACCCCTTAATAATTTTAGTAAATTATTTTTTTTCCATTTCATAATGAGGGACTAAATCCCTGACAAACAGATAAGGCCACTGATAAGTAACAGAAATGGCAAACTTCCCTTGTCTTCACTTAAGACAAAAACCTAGGGGCTTGCCCTTGCTTCCTGTGCCTGCTTGAAGATGTAGAGCTTAGCTTCTGCTCCTCCTCCAGCCATCTCTGCCACAATACCTCTCTACCAGGATGGACTCTTCCTTGGAACTGAAATGGACAAACCAAATTGGGACTGAACTAGAAACTTTTCCCCTGCTGCCTTGTTTTCATAGAGCTGGAAGGTGTTATACAGGCTACTAGAAAATAATTGTTGCCAACAGTCCTGCTTGGGTGTAGACTCTGCTTATTATACTATCAAATATGTTAGGAAGAGGTGCCTGCTAGAGCAATAGTGGCACGATGACTATGGGTGCAACCAACTACCTTTTGATTAGATTTTAAGGTCCAATCCACAGGAAGGAATTCACATTTGGTACCATAAGCCAGATGTCAGAAGAGGGCATCAGACCCCCTGGAACTGGAGTTAGCGTGATTGTTAGCCACCACATGAGTGCTTGGAATTGAACCTGGGTCCTCTGCAAGAGCAGCCAGTGCTCTTAACCACTAAGCCATCTCTCTAGTCCTCTCCCATCCTATTTCATAAATATACATAAATTAATATACAGATTGTTTTAAGGTTTTGATGGTTATGAATAAAGCTGCTTGTAAAGAAAAACAAAACAAAAAAACAAAAACAAACAAAAACCTAGGGGATTTTTTTCTCCCATAGGTGGGGCCCCTTTTCTGGTTGAGTGGTCCAGACCAGTTTAGCCAACCAGTCCTGGACATGTGTCAGCTTGGAGCTGTGGTCTGTCATCCCTCTCTTCTCTGTTTAAATTGACCAATCCAAAATTCGGAGAGGGGGACCTGCTTTATACAACCAAGATCACTTGAAAAAGACCCAGGCCCCCCTTGGAGTTTTGGATTTTTTGATTTCTGAATCCCTTCTCTACTTGTGGAGAGTTTTTCTCTGGGTGTGAGCATGTGTATGTGTGTGGGTTTTTTTACTTTTTATAATTTGTTCAGCCACACATGGTGGTGTATGCCTTCAATCTCAACAATTGGGAGGCAGAGATAGGCAAAAATCTGAGTTCAAGCCAGCCTGGTCTACAAAGTGAGTTCCAGGCCAGCCAGAGCTACACAGTGAGACCCTGTCTCAAATAAATAAATGAATAATAAATAATTTTTTAACTTGCTGTGTCTGAGGTTCTTCCTGCCTTTAATTCTTTAATTTGCTGAGAAAATTAACTCTATAAGACCCCTAGATGGTAACAATATCTTAGACAATTGGATCAAAATGTGATACCAGACCTCATAAATATATACAATTATTGGTCTTTTTTTTGAGATGGGATCTCCCTGTAGCCCTAGCTGGGTTGGAACATGCTATGTAGATGAGGCTGGCCTCGAACTCAGAGAGATCTGCCTGCCTCTGCCTCCTGAGTGCTGGGACTCAGGTGCTGGGATTATAGGTATGCCACCATAAATATGTACAAGTATTATGTTTCAAAAATTGGAATGAGTTGGCTCAAAGAAAGATGTTAATCTTCCTAAAAATGCCAATCAAACTGGGCATGGTAGTGCATGCCTTTAATCCCAGCACTTGGAAGGCAGAGGCAGGCGTATCTCTTTGAGTTCAAGGCCTGCCTGGTCTACATAGTGAGTTCCAGACTATCTGGGGCCACAGGGAGACCCAGGCCCACTTGCCTAGGGATGACACTGCCTATAGTGGGCATGGGGGCTTCACACCAATTAACAATCAAGAAAATAACCCCATAGACATGCCCAAAGGCCAGTCTGATGGAGGAAATTCCTCAATTGAGGTTCTCTCAAGTGTCTCTAGTTTGTGTCAAGTTGGCAAAATTAACCAGCACTGCTGTTAATAGTCCCATTTTGCACTTAAGGAAACAAACACAGAAAAATTAGGTAATTTTTGCTAATTTACACAGTTAATAAATTGTATGTTCAGAAAAAATTTGGTACCTGTTTTATTTTAGAATCCAAAGTCTCATCCGTACATCACCCTAACATTGTTTATATTTGGCCTAGTCTTCATTATTCAAATAACTTTTCTGTTTTGATGAATTTCCTTCATTACAAGCCTTCTCTTGTTAAGGAAAGAAGGTAGAATTATTTTTTTCCAGCCTATCTTGTAACTGGGGTACAGGCATAAGATTAAGACTAAGGCAACCAAAGCTGGGCCTGGCAGTATATGCCTTTAATCCCAGCATTAGAGAGGCAGGTGCATCTCTGTGAAAGCAAGGCCAGCCTAGTCTACATAGTGAGTTCCAGGCCAGCTGGAGCTACAGGGAGACCCTGTCTTCAAAGGATAGAACAAAAATAGATTTAGGCAATCAATTTTAACATGCCTGACTTATATTCTGAAAACAGGAATCTAAGAAAGTGAACAGCCCGTTGAATCCATTTTCTGGAAAGAATGGCAACAAAACTGTATCAATGTCATTGGCAACAGTGGTGAGGATTTAGGTGTATGGTGTCCAGTATGCAAGCTGTAAATTGAACAAGTTCCCACAAGGCCTTCCCTGGAACCTGTTATGGTTTGTGTTGTTTCGCATGTATAGTCTCCAAGAATGAATCTGGTTTTCTAGGAGATTCTGCATAGTGCCAAATAACCCATACTGAGCTCCTTTTCTGCTTAAAGTAACTGGGGTGAGTTTGGTTGGGGTATTTTGAGTTTGAGACAGGGTCTTGCTGTGTAGGCCAGGCTGGCCTGGAACTCACAGTCCTCCTACCTTAGCCTTCTGAGTACTGAAATTAAAAGCATGTATCACCATGCCCAGCTTAGTTTTGTGTTGATAATTAAGAAAATCTATTGATTAAAAGTGTAGGGGACTGGAGAAACGACTCAGCATTTATGAGTGCTTACTTCTCTCACAGAGGACCTGTGTTTGGTTCCCAGCATCCATGTAGGGTGGCTCACAACCTCCTGTAACTCCAATTTCAGGGGATCTGATGCCCTCTTCTTGTCTCTGAGGGTACTTGCACACATGTGCTCTCTCACATACACAAATAAAATATTTTTATTTTTATTTTATGTGTATGAGTGTTTTGCCTGCATGTGTGTAAATGTACCACAGGCATGCAATGCCTAGGGAGGCCAGAAGAGGGTGTTGGAGCCCCTAGAACTAGAGTTACGGTCAGTTGTTACCTGCCATGTGAGTGCTAGGAACTGAACCTGGGTCCTCTACAACAGCAGTCAGTATTCTTAAATGCTGAACTATTTCTCCAGCCTATTATTATTATTATTATTATTATTATTATTATTAATTATTATTATTTAGACAGGTTCTCACTATGTAATTCTTGCTGACCTGTAACTCACTATGTAGACTAGGCTGATCTCAAATTCACAGGGATTTACCCTCCTCTGCCTTCCAAATGCTGGGATTAAAGGCATGTGCTACCATGCTGGACAGAATAAACCTTTTATCGAAAAGTATAGAAGTGTGTCTCTGAAGAGAATTGTTAATGAGTTCCACTGTATCATTTAGGATGTTATAAATTAATGTAACAGAATAATCATGTTCAAAATAAGGAAGCTTCCTCATGCTGTAGACTGTCACTGTAGACTTCATGTTGCATTGATGAGTAGCAAAATGAGATTACTACTGCCCTAGATCCTTCCTTTGCTTCTTCTTTGTGTTTCATACTAACAAGTTCATTCAACACAGGTTCATCTTGTAGTCATAGAATGGTACCTATACATCTTTCTTACTTCCTTGTTCATGTTAAGCCCGAGAGTCTCTTGAATATCTCTTGCAAAACAAAGAAGAACTTTCTGTCTTATTTCATTGTATAATGTTGGAGAAATAATAGTTGGCAAAGGAGATGCAAGTATTCTCAAACTAACTAGACCTACCCCAAGACTGTAGTTGGTTCTCCAAATTACATTGCTACTGCTCGATGGGGAAGAGGTATAGGGTCCCTCACAATGTCTACAGCCCCAAAAGATGAGTGTTCCCAAGATTATCCATTTATGAAATGACATATTTAACTCTGAAAATGCTTTTATCACAGCCTTTTGGGATTGTTATTTGGTTTTTAGGGGGTTTTTTGTTGTTTTTTTTTTGAGACAGGGTCTTCCTATGGCCCCAGCTGTCCTGGAACTCACTATGTAGACCAGGCTGGCCTTGAACTCACAGAGATCCACCTGCCTCTGCCTCCCAAGTGCTGGAATTAAAGGCGTGCGTCACCATGCCCGGCTGGGATTGTTATTGTTGATGTCAACCTGAAAGATGAGGTTACCAAGATTCCACAAAGTTAATGTCAATGTCTTTTGATTTCACAAGGCCTCCTTTCCTCTCCCCAAACCCCCATAATCTCAGCTGTTCTTAAGATAAGTAAAATATTTGGGACAATTTCTAGGTATCATGCCAATATGGCAATTGTTGAGAAAAAGTTCACTTAAACTCTTCCTGGAAATTTTTAAAAAATTATGTTTCAACATGTATTAGGAATGAAGAACTCAAAAGAAGATGAAGTGTACTATCCACCTCTCCTACCTAGCAAGGTAGATCTCCAGCAAGTCACCATAATTCCACACAATGAGTGGGAAAGAATTCAGGATAGCCTTGACAGGTTGACAAGAGAAGCAGCAGCTCTTCGTGCAGAAAGACAGGCAAAGAAAAAAATGCATGTCCAGTCCCAAGAATTGGTAAAACATTGGACAAATACATATGCAGTAAGTATCAATCTTCCAGACATGCATGTGCTTTGAAAACTAATTCTTGTTTCTTAGTAATATGTTATACTTCTTTTATATATAACTTTATGTTTACAATGTCATAAATACAGTGAAACACATTTTTAAGATATGTATTTAAATAACATACCATAAATGACCTATTTAAAGAAAACATTTTGTTAGTTTTGACATATGTATGTACTATGTACCTCCAAAACCATCATTACTATTAAGATAATGAACATAGGAACTGGAGAGATGGCTCAGTGGTTTGGAACACTGGCTTGCAGAAGACCCCAGTTTGGTTTCCAGCGCACACATGGTGACTAACAACCATCCATAACTGCAGTTCCAGGGGATCCAACAGCCACTTCTGGCCTCCACTTGCATTGTACTACACGGTACACTTATATACATGCAGGCAGTCATAGACATAAATTAAAATTAAATCTTTTTCTAAAAAAAAGATAATGGCATAGTGGTACATGCCTTTAATCCCAGTACTTAGAAGGCAGAGGCAGACAGATCTCTGTGAGATTGAAGCCAGCCTGGTCTACATAGTGAGTTCCAGGTCACCAAGGGTACAGGGAGACCCTGTTTAAAAACAAAACAAAGATAAATATGAAAATTAAAAAGGTAATGAACATAATTCCTCATCCAGAAGTTTCCTCATGTCCTATACTTCTTGTCACTCCTCCTTAGACCTTATGAGATCACCACTCATCTATTTATTATTGATTTTATTCAACAAAATCATTCTGAGATTCATTCATATTGTTATGTGTATTGCTTATTTTTATTACTGAGTTGTATTCTAGTTTATCTGGTCACTTGATGATATTATGTCAACCAAATGTTGACATTTGAGTTGTCTCTATCTTTTGGCTATGACATAGTTGCTCTGTGTTCTGGATAGCTTTAGTGTCAACTTGACACACCTGGGTTGAAGGAGCCTCAATCGGGGAATTGCCTCTATTGGACTGGCCTGTGGCCATGTCTGAAGGGCATCTTCTTGATGAGTGATGTGGGAGGGCCCAGCCCACTGTGGGTGGTGCCACCCCTGGGCAGGTGGGCCTGTGTTGCATAAGAAAGCAGGCTGAGCAGGAGCCGAGGGAGCAAGCCTGTAAGCAGCGTTCTTCCATGGCCTGTGCTCCAGCTTCTGCCTCCAAGTTCCTGCCCTGAGTTCCTACCTTGGGCTCCCTGATGAACTGCTTGCGACCTGGGAGATGTAAGACAAATAAACCCTTTCCTCCCCAAGTTGGTACTGGTCAGAGTGTTTTGTCACAGCAATGAAGAACAAACTAAGACACTCTGAATCTTCATATAAGTCTGCACATGGACCCATGCTTCCATTTCTCTTGAGTAAATATCTTGGTACAGATATTTATTACTGAATTATATGATCACTGTTTAACTTTGTAAGGGGAGGGCTGGAGAGATGGCTCAGCAGTTAAGAACGTTTGTTGTTTTTCCAGAGAACCAGAGTTCCATTTCCAGAACTCACATTGGGTGGCTCACAACCCCCTGTAACTCCAGTTCCAGAGGATTGGGCACTCTCTTCTAGCCTGCAAATACACAAGTATTTGCACAAATATACACACACACACACACACACACACACACACGCAAATAATAAAAATAAAAATTTTTGCTTCATTTTTATTTTATGTGTGTATTGTGTGCGTGTAAACAAATGCATCCGTATCATGCAATGCCCACGGAGGATAGAAGGAGTTGGATCCCTTGGAACTGGAGTTACAGATGGTTGTTAGCTGCCATGTGGGTGCTGGGATTTGAACCCTGGTCTTCTGTAAGAACTAATCAATCTTTCCATCCCTAATAAAAATCAGCCTTAAAAAATTAGCTTTCGGGGGCTGGAGAGATGGTTCAGCGGTTAAGAACACTGGTTGTTCTTGCAGAAAACCTGGGTTCTAATCCCAGCACCCACATGGCAGCTAACAACTGCCATGGGGTCCCAGGGGATCCGACAGCCTCTCTGACCTCCATGGGCATTGCACGACATGGGTGCACTTAACCTACATGCAGACAATACATGCATACACATGAAATAAAATAAAAAAAAAATAAAATAAAAGTTTAAAAAAAAATAGCTTTGGACCAGGCATGGTGGCACACACCTTTAATCCCCAGCACTCAGAAGGCAGAGGCAGGCTGATCTCTGTGAAATGGAGACCAGCCAGGGCTACTTAGGGAATTCTAGGCCATCTAGGGCTACAGGGAGATCCTGTCTAAAAAAGCGAAAAAAAAAAATATCTTTGAGGTTGGAAAGATGACTCAGTGGTTAATAGCACTGGCTGCTTTTCTAGAGGGCCAGAGTTCAGTTTCTAGCACCCACTTGGTGGCTCACAACTGTCTGTAACTTTAGTTCTGGGAGATCTAGTGCCCTTTTCTGGCAAAACACTCATACAATACACATAAAATTATTAAATCTTTGAAAAAGTAACTTTCTAAGAAATTTCCAGACTTCCAAAGCAATTGAAATTCTCTATTTCCACCAGCAATGTGAATATCCTGCTGCCTCTGCATTCTCACCAGCAGGCTGGTGTGGTCAATCTTTTTAATTACAGATAATCTAATAGATGTGAAATATTCCATTATACCTTAAATTTGAATTTCCCTAGTAACAAATATTGAACATTTTTTAAAAAATTAGCTTTGGGCCAGGCATGGTGGTGCACACCTTTAATCCCAGCACTCGGGAGGCAGAGGTAGGCAGATCTCTGTGTTTGAGGCCATCTTGGTCTACATAGAGAGTTCCAGACCAGCTGGGGCTACACAGAGACCTTGTCTCAAAAAAAAATTTATGTGTCAATGTGCACACACTCATGCTCATGCACATACCATGGCACGAGTGTTGAGGTCAGTGGACACCTTGTAGGAGTCAGTTTTCTTCTTCCATCATGTGGGTTCCAAAACTCTGACTCATATTGCTAGAGTTGCTGGCAAGTGCCTTTATTTGATGAGCCATCTCTGTGGTTGTCCTGGTTAGCATTAACTATCAACTAGACACAGCCTAGAGTTACCTGAAAAAAAAAAGTTTCAGTTAAGTAATTGTTTTTATCGGGTTGGTCTGTGGGCGTGTCTGAGAGAGATTGTCTTGTTTGATAACTGATATGGGAGGGTCTGGCCCACTATGGGGAGCACTTGCATCCCTACACCAGTGGCCCTGGGAAGTTAACTGAGCATGAACCTGAGCGAGCCAGAGAGTGAGCCAGCAATCAGTGTTCCTCCATGGTTTCTGCTTTGAGTTGCTGCCTCTGACTTCCCTCAATGATTGTGACCTGGAAGTATAAGCCAAAAAACTATTTTCTACCTTAAGTTGCTTTTGGTCAGAGTGTCTTATCATAGCAACAGAAAGGAAACTAGAATACCAGCCAAAATCTTTTTTTTTTTTTTTTTTTTTTTTTAACAAAAAAAAAAAAAAAAAGTTGACCAGGAACTTGCTGTGTAGATCAGACTGGCCTCAATCTCACAGAGATCAACCTGTTTTTGCCTCCCAAGTGCTGGGATTAAAGGCTACACCACTATGCCTGGCCCCAAAAATCTTGTACTGAACTGATTTTCTACTTACGTATCTACTTTAGTCAAGTGTCTTTTCAATAAAAAAAAAAAAAACCAAACCAACCTTTTTTTAGTTTTTATTTTATATGTGTGTTTTACTGTATGTATGTAAGTGAACCCACGCATACAATGTCCATGAAAGCCAGAAGAGGGTGTCAGATTCCCTGGAACTGGAGTTTGAGATGGTTGTTAGCTGCCATGTGGGTGCTAGGAACCAAAGCTGGGTCCTCTGGAAAAACATTCAGTGCTCTTAACCACTGAGCCATCTCTCCAGCCCTGTCTTTTCTATTTTTAAATTAGATTTGTTTTCTTTTCTTTTTTCTTTTTTTTGGTCTTTTTGAGACAGGGTTTCCTTGTAGACTCAGCTGACCTGGAACTCATTATGTAGATCAGGCTAGCCTTAAACTCACAGAGCTCTGCCTGCCTCTGCCTCCCAAGTGCTGGGATCAAAGGCATGCATTACCTCACCTGGCTTGTTTTCTTATTCTTGATTTTAGAGATCTGTTCTTGTTTGAGACAAGGTCTCACTATGTAGACCTGGTTGGCCTGGAACTGACTATGGTTGGCTTGAATTCACAAAGATCCACTTGCCTGTCTCCCAAGTGCTGGGATTGAAGGCATGTACCACTATGTTTGGCGGATTTTAGAAAATTTTATAAACATGTTCTGGGGGCTGGAGACATGGCTCAGTGGTTAAGAGCACTTGCTGCTCCTGTAGAAGACTTAGGTTTGGTTCCCAGCACCTGCATTGTGACTCCATTCCCTTTTCTACCCTCTGAGGGTACTGCACACGTATCAGGTACACATACATACAGGCAAAAACACTCATAAAACTTGGATCTTGGGTTCAAGGCCAACCTGGGTTATATAATGAGTTCAAAGACAGCCTGCTCAGCAAGACTCTGTCTCAAAAAGAAAAAAAGAAAGAAAAAAGAGCTCAGAATGTAGCTCAACTGGTAGAGCACTTGCTTAGCATGCGTAAAGCCTTGAGTTCAATGTCCAGCAGCACATCAAACATGGCATGGCAGCCCATGCTTATAATCCCAGCACTTGGATACAGAGACAGATCATCCTTGAATTATGAGGTAAGTTTAAGGCTAGCTTTGGCTACATGGGACCCTGTGTCAAAGAAAATGTGTACGTTTGAAAATATTTCCTTTCACAATATATCTTGACCTTTCATTTCCTTACCTTGTGGGTTTTTTTTTTTTTTTTTTTTTTTTTTTTTTTTTGTCTTTTGGAGACAGGGTCTCCCTATAGCCCCAGCTGTCCTGGAACTCACTATGTAGACCAGGCTGGCCTTGAACTCACAAAGATCCACCTGCCTCTGCCTCCCAAGTGCTGGGATTAAGGGCGTGCACCACCACACCCGGCCTTACCTTGTGTTTTAAAGGACAGAAGCTTACTTTGTTTTTTGGGCTAATAGAAATTTTTAATCTTAGTGATATCTTAGGACTGGAGGGAGAAATTCATTGTATACCCCTGTAATGTTTTTGGATTATGAACCATGTGTGCTACCACCTAAAGAAGTCAATTAAAAATTAGTTTGAGCCGGGCATGGTGGCGCACGCCTTTAATCCTAGCACTCGGGAGGCAGAGGCAGGAGGATCTCTGTGAGTTCAAGGCCAGCTTGGTCTACATAGTGAGTTCCAGGACAGCTGGGGCTACAGGGAGACCCTGTCTCAAAAAAGACCAAAAAAAAATTAGCTTGAAAATGCGATTTCATCTTTACCAATGAATTATGCAAGCATAATGAAAATGCATAATGAAAGTTCAAATTAACATTAATATAATATTGTACATTAAAATTTTTTGATTTATTTTTAATTTTATGTGTATGAGTGTTATACCTCCATGTGTGTAACTACACCCGTGTCATGTAGTGCCCACGGAGGACAGAAAAAAGTGTCTGATCCCTGGAACTGAAGTTAACCATCATGTGGCTGCTGGGATTTTAAACCCAGGTCTTCTGCAAGAGCAGCCAGTGCTCTTAACTGCTGGGCCATCTTTCCAGCCCCCAGTAATGTACATTTTTGATCAATTAAATTGTAAAATGAAAACAAAAGATTGTTTTGGGCTGAGGTTATAACTCAGTGGTAGATAGATCACTTGCCCAGCATGCATAAGGTCCTGGGTGTGATTGCCCAACACTAAAAAAAGATTGCTTTTTTTAAAAAAACAGGGAATGAAAGAACAGAAACTTAAAGCCAAAAAAAAGCATGATGAAGAACTGGAAGCAGAAAGACAAATTCTTGATTTGGAGGAAGAAATATACAAACAAGGAGAAAGAAAAAAGGCCATTGAAAATGCAAAGCATCATCAGTTTTACCAGACAGAAAGAGTGAAAAACTTCCATGTACTATTTGGCTTTTCTTCTCTTTTTATATATGTTTAACACACATAATTGACTATATTCTCTGTATATTGTACATAATTTTCTTAAAATAGTACAATTTTTTTGTAGTCAGGACTTCTTCTCAGTAGAGTTATGAAAGAGCGTGATGCCCAGATTCAGTTCCAAAAGAGTACACTAAAATCAGATAAAAAATGGGAGGAACAACTGAAACTCAACATTGAAAAAGCTTTTAAAGAAGAGCAAGAAAAAGTAGAAAAACAACGCAGAGAAAGAATAGCTCTTGCTGCAGACCACCTAAAACAGTATGTATATGTAAATTGCCTTTTTGGTATCTTACTCTTTTTCTCATAATGAATATTGCTTTTTTTCCTGATTATGAAAGTAATATATGCCAAAATGCATGGCAGAAAAAATATAAAGAAAAAGATTAAAAGTCACTATTAGAGCCAGACGTGGTGCTACATCCTATAACTCTTGCACTTTGGAGGCTGAGGCAGGAGGATCAAGAGTTGGAGGCCAGCCTGGGCTACATAACTAGAGCCTGTTCAAAAGACAAAGCAAGGGCTGATGGACGGCTTAGTGGGTAAAGGTGCTTGCTGTATAAGCCTGGTGGTCTGAGTTTGATCTCTGGAACCCATGTAAAGTTGGAAGGAAAGAACCAACTGTACAAATTGTCATCTGATCACACATTAAAAAAATATGTGAATGAATGTTTTGTCTGTATGTATGTGTACCATATGCATGCCTAGTGCCTGTGGAGGCCAGAAGAGTGTATTGGATTCCCTGGAACTGTAGTTATAGATGGTTGTGAGCTACCATATGAGTCCTGGGAACTGAGCCCAGGTCCTCTTCAAGAGCAGCAAGTGCTTTTAACCACTGAGCCATCTCTTCAGCCCCTGAATAAAATTAATTTCTTAAAAAGAACAAAATAAGCCAGGTGTGATGGCACACCCCTTTAATCCCAGCACTCGGGAGGTAGAGGCAGGTGGATCTCTGTGAGTTCAAGGCTAGCCTGGTCTACATAGTGTGTTCCCGGTCAGCTGGGGCTATAGGGAGACCCTGTCTCAAAAAGCAAGCACCAAAAAAAAAAAAAAGAACA